TCCCTTATTTCCACGTTATAACATTTATAATTATCTTCCACGGCGAACGATAATCGAATAATTTTCTAGATTCACGAAGGACCAATCGATTCGAAAGGAAGAACAGTGTAACCGTTTGCTACCTATCGATTCGTCGCGCGAAAAATTGAAGGTCGATGAAAAACCATTAATCACCGTCTTCGATCTTCAGGCACATCGTACCTTTATACGCGAATCGAGGATCGTGTGAAAGTTAATGGATAAACGATAAGCAAGCGGAAAAATTGATTTGGAGCATAGTATTGAGTGGCTCGTTAAAGTCAGCAAAGGTTTCGCGTGATAAATCGTCGTCGGTCGAAAGGCGAAATCCAAATCGTCTCGAGGGATTACCTGCCGTTATTATTCGTTCGATGTTTGTTACCAATTAAAATAGTCGGCAGAAAAGAAGAAGAAGAAGAAGAAGAAGAAGAAAACAAATTAATATTTAACCGCTTGCGCTGGCAACTGATTGCGGACCATAACGAGTGACCGAATCGTATTCGATAGTCGCTTTCTTTTTGAACTCGTCGATGTGATGTCATTGGATAGAAATTATTGAGAAGTAATAAATTTATTATTTGTTTTGGCTATTTAGTTTTACTTAAATATACTTGAAACTGAGAAAATATTGCAATTTTAGAACAAAAAAGAATTCTCAACGTGCGAGGCAGGTCATTCCAGCGCAAGAGGTTAACCACTTGCGCTGGCAACTGATTGCGGACCATAACGAGTGACCGAACCGTATACGATAATTCTGGATAGAAATTATTGAGAAGTAATAAAATAAATTTATTATTTGTTTTACCTATTGTGTTTTACTTAAATATACTTGAAACTGAGAAAATGTTGCAATTTTGGAACAAAAAAAAAAATTCTCGTGAGTGACAGCGCAAGAAGTAAAATATGTATGTGTTCGATCGCGATGCGATTATACGCTGTGCTTCGTCTTACGACTTTGCTTTGTCGAAAGCTGGCGAATCAATCACGTTTGAACGAACCTGAATTGAACGAACATGCATGCAAGTTACTCACAAGGAGGCAAGAGACGATTCACAGACTGGAAACGCAGAGTGGCGTCCTGCGTGAAACTGCAGAACGAACGTGGGTTTCTCGTGCGTGGTGCGCGGATATCTCCGGGCCAGGCGGCGGGTCAGAACCACTCACAGACAATCAGCTGCGCGAGTTCACCGAAAATCGACTGAGAGAGTCCGGTTGTTGCCCGGCGCGACACAAAGCGAAGCGAGATCACGAAGCCAGGTATACGCGCGCTCACTGTGGCTGAACTGTGCACGGTTCAGGAACGAGCCGGCATACCTGGCGACGACCAGGCGTTAACTGAAAGCGTATGGAGGCCGAAGAAGAACGCCGGCCAGCGGTACACCTGTGTGTGCCACGGCGAGCCGCGAGCCAGCAGGCAGGAGAGAGCGAGGAGGAGAAGGAGAAGAAACTCGGTAGAAGGAGAGGCTGCTGCCTCTCGGGCCTCTCCGCCGCGATGGCCTTTACGCGGCGGATACGTTTATCGTGATAAACGGAACGCGAACAGCTGCTTGGAATCCACTGCCGAGTAACGCCGAGGAGGAATTTTGAGTCGTCTCGATCGTCGAAGAGAGTGGGGACGAAGGTCTTGGAGAGGGAGAACTCGAGGTTTGAAAGATAAATAAAGTTTTGATGCTCCCCACAGACTCTGTGTGGCGGAGGAGATTCGAAAAATTCAGTTGAATACTCGAGACTATCTCTCTGTGACGTATGAAAATTCATCGATGGAATATTTTCTGATGAAATCATGAAAAATTTAGTTGAATACTCGAGACTCTCTCTCTCTCTCTCTGTGACGTATGAAAATTCATCGATGGAATATTTTCTAATGAAATCACGATCTTCCTTCATCCGCGGGAACGTAGAAGGAGAGAAAGAGAGAGAGAGAGAGGATGCATTTTTAAAGATTCTGAAAAGAGTCTTCTTCTAGTATTTTTTTTATTAGCCACTTGCGCTAACAACTGATTGCGGACCATAACGAGTGACCAAACCTTATATACAATAATTCGGCCGCTTTCTTTTCACGTATGATATCACTGGATAGAAATTATTGAGAAGTAATAAAATAAATTTATTATTTGTTCTGCCTATTTAGTTTCACGTAGATATATTTAAAACTGAGGAAATGTTGCAATTTTGGGACAAAAAATTCTCGACGTGGTTCCAGCGCAAGAGGTTAAAGCAATTGCTCGAATCGAAAGATCCAAATATATCAGCGATATGTCATTAACGAATTAAAAAGTTTCAAGCGAGAGAGGATTTCCAGCAGAAACGTGTAAATTCTGCAGTTTTATATTTGGAGCGCAGTCTGGCTGAAAGTGTAATGTATTTTACGAATAATACCCAATGGCATATCACTTTGAAGAATGTAATTAATTCACTTCGTTTTATACGCCGTTGTCTGCAAGTACCAACGCTGATTTCGCTATTCTCGTAACAAAATAATTGAATTTCGCGCTGCACTGTCGTCTTGCAAATTTCTACTCCGAACGAAAACTCGCAATTCTCTCATTTAACCCACTTTTGCTCGTTTATTAAATCCAAAGGACAGACTCGAGGAAGAATTCGTCGAAGACCAAACGGGATTAAATTAAAGTGTAAGTAGAGATAAAAGTCGATCTCGGGCGATTTTTCGACGAGAGCGGAGCAACGTTGAAAAGGCGGGGGAAACAAAGGGGCAAAACTCGTTGTGAAAATAGGATGAAAAGTATCGGCGAGGGCCGAAGAGCAAAATATGCAAACCTGTTCCCTCGCGAGAGAGAAACGATCCGCCACGGGATAGCGTAGGGCCACGCTGGAAAGTTGGAGACTTGGTTGGCCGTCGATGGATCGTTCGATGGCCGTCGATCCTTCCAATAACAGAAACGAAGGAATCTTCGTCGAGCATTCTCTGTACTTTCTTGGAATTAAACCGTAAACATTCCGCGGGGTTCCACCTGTTGAAGGAACAGCCTGCAGGTAATTTATCTGAGGACGAGCCAGTCTCCGAGTAACTTCCCTCCTACGACAAACTTTGATGAGGAAGAACGTGGAGAAGAAGAGGCGTCTCTTTCAAAAGAACGGGAAAGATATAATAAAGGCCGAGGGGACTTTCGATGTGTCCTCGAGTAAATCGAGGAACTCGGCGTTTGTTCAACTTTTCGAGCAGTGACAATGTGTCACGGCGACTGGAAACTTCGTTGCTCGATCCATCGAAGATTGTTCTTGCCGTCGAACGCAATTAATTTCGATGGTGAGTGATTCCTCTTAGATTGGAAGTTAATCACAGGAAAGGAAGAACGCATGTACGTTGAGCTTCGACTTCTTTGCACGCCGAGTATCGAGTTGATCGAGAGGCGTGAGCACGTATAAACTTGCGACTTCATCTGGGTGGAACTTAACTTCCGAGAGATAAGATCTTTTCCTTAATATAGGCGCGCGCGTGTGTATGTGCGTGACCCCTTCGCCGGTAAGTTCATCGAATCACACTTTCCTCGATGTTATCTTCTCTAATTATTCTCCTAAAGCTCCGGCGCGGCTACTTGTTACAAACAGTATCTCGAGAGAGAGGTAGTTTTCAGAGGTAATTTTGCATTAGAAAACTGATAACGCTACGTAACGTAACGTTAATAAAACGAGAAATTGTGATTAAAGACGGACAGAGAGGAGCAGCTGGTGAAACCGCAAATTTTAATCCTCGACCCCGATCGAAAAATGTCGAGAATTAAATACGGAACGGAACGGGAGAAAATATATGTACATGCGTCAAAGCCCGGAGCGTAAGTTGGAGGTCGAACTCGAAAAAGGATCGAACGCGAAAGCCAGCGAACCAGCGATACAGAAAAATTGCAAGAGCCGAATTGCAACGAGCCAGCTATGTAGCTTGCATTCTGCACGTACAAAACGATCCCCTGTTTCATTACCGTGGGCTGCGGTATTGTATTGACGTATCGAACAAATTGCTTCCTTCCATGCAGTTTTCGGGCTGCGGATATCATAAATACTGGCTCACCTATGGGAAATAATTCGTCGACCAGAATTCATCGGCTACATCGGCTAAGAATCGTAAGTTATCGATTCTTTCGCGATTCGCACCATCGAGAATCGAAATATCGTGCGTGCCGCGGAGAAGGATGAAAAATTTCAGTTAAAAATGCAATATCTATCAGACGTTTTATGATGGAAATATATTCTTTGAAATATCGACGGATATCAACAGAAAATGAAAAAAATTAAGGGCAGGATTCAAGTCGCCTCTTCGGATAAAACTCTCTCGAATCAGGGAAACGAGACGGAGATCGTCGACGACGGTTCGAGCCATCGATGCTCCGCAAGTGCATCTTTAATTCTGATTAAACGTAATCTTCGAGGGAAGAGCAGTACGCTTCGGTTGCCGAGTAACCACAAAAGTTTTCGCGAATCTCTGGAACTCGTGAGAGGTCGAACTGGACATCCTCGACCCTTCTTTCAATTTCCAAGGGTGTTTGCAATTGTAGAGAAGTTTGATGCACAAGCGAAGATGCAGTGCGAAGGAAACTTAGGAAAATCCAATAATTACATGGGTGATGACGGTTATTAATATATTTAAAAATAAAGATAAGAAAAATTACGCATTAGAAACAAGAAAAATTATGTTTCTCACGAAAAGTTACGATTGTTATTAATGTTATTAATTGTTTCTGCATTTGACCAGCTAAGAATCGTAATAATTGAGACCGAGATCGATCTAAACAGTTTTACGTTCACTAAGAAAAAAAAAAAAAAAAAAAAAAAATTGATAAAAAAAACTCGTCGCTGAAATCTGATCGAAACCTAATCGCAAATCGAAATTAGCCATCGTCGACGCTCGTCTTCTCGTCTGCTACATTGATGGACCATGAGGCATCTCGGACGATTAACCAAAATGTTCCAAACACGTTCGTCGCTCGAGAATAATCGATCCCTCTCCTCTTCGTCGTTTTGGTGTGTTTTCCCTCGCTTCCTCGCTCTCCCCTCTCCTCTCCTCTCCTCTCCTCTCGCCGAGAACGCGTCTTCAAGCTTGTACGCAAGCGCGTGTCTTTCTCTCCTCGCTCGCACATCCGCTACCGACGTCAATAAAACTTTTTCTTGTACTTTCGATACCTTTCCTCCTCGGAGTGCCTGCGCAGCTGATTCAAAAGTTCGTTCGGCACGTACCACAGTTTGTTCGCGTTGACGAGGAGAGCTTCCGTTGCCTGGCAGCACACGGCTGCCATGTTCAGCTGGGCGGTCAAATCGGCACGATCGCGCGGGTGAACGTACCGCGGCGGGAACAAGGACGGCGCCACGATCATCGCCACGTTGTGAATCGACATTTTGTTCGACGCTTGGTTCTCCACCACCAGTTTGAAGAACTTGACCAACGCTCTCAGCGTACAGCGATTCTCTATCGGCAGCAGCAGCACCAGCAAATTCAAAGCGTACGACAACTCCTGGTGATCCTTCACTCCTGCGCGTATAAAAGAAGAAGCAGAAAGTTGTATTTGATGGAACGTGTCGCGAGAAATTGTAAAAATGTACGCACGCGTGTGTGCATGTTCTTCGAAATTCGAACTCGTCTCAACGACGAGTCACGTTCTAGCGACTTACCGTGACTTTGGTAGAAAGCGTCGATAAGCTCTACGGTGAGCAGCGGCTGCGGCAGGTCGCGCAACAACTTTTTCAAAATTGCCGACAGATCGTGGCACGACATGCACTTGAACAACTTGTCCACCTCGTTCGGCTTGCAATAGAAGTCCGTTTCCAACTGCCTGCATATCGACTCGACCTGAACGAAACAACGACAGCGTCGTTTATTCCAACGTTTGTGTACTTACTGGCCACCAGTATTATCTAACGTTATCGATAATTCAAGTGTACTTTGAAAAAGAATGTACTTTTTGCTTGTGTCCCCCGACGCGAAGAATACCCTCCTCTCTCACGCCTCGTCTCGTTAACTCGTTGAGAACCTTTTGAAACACCAGCGGGATGTTACTCTCCTCGGACGACAACTGACTGTCTCGAAGTAGGAGAGTCGACAATGAAACGCCAAACAAGTTTCCAGCTGCGAATGTAACGCGAATGTTGATCAATTGCGACGTCTCGACGTCTTACTTTAACAGTTGAACAGTTCGTTGCTGCAGATACCAACCTTTCGTCCGGCGTTTATTCGGTTTCCGTTTTTTCAACGGGAGGTTGTACTTGTCGAACACGGCGGTCAATTCCAGCCACAGCAGTGGCTGTAACCTGGTCAAGTCTCGCTGCGTGAGCGTTTCAATCCCCAGCCGATCCTGTACGTCATCGGCTGTAGCGAGAGCCTCCGACGTCCATACGTCCGACTTCATTTCGTTCGTTCTGCACATTTCTTCGAAACTCAAGTGACCGTGAGAGGATGTCCGGTTCAACGGGCGAGTGATCAAACGTTCGTCCGCTGGTCTCGTCAAACCGTACAGGCTGCTGTGGCTCCGAGTTACCGACACCGCGTGACTCCCCGAGTTTCTCCTGAAATTTCACGCGTAAAACGAGTTATCGACGAGTCATTGGCGAGTCATTAGCTCTGCTTCAGACACACCTCAACGTCGAGTCTGTCGGGCTGTTCAACTTTTCGACAGTTTCGCCCAGACTCGTCGCGTTCGCCACCTCGCTGGGATCGCTTCCGCTTCGCCTTTGTATACTGGGCTTCGAAACGTGTATCGTCCCCAGTCTGTGGTAGCTCGTCAGCTGAATTCCTTCTGCAAATGAAACATGCTGCATTGGTCTGTGCTCGTTCGAGACAGAAAAGCGTGCAAACGGTTCTATACCTGAATCGTTCGCGACGTCCCCTCGCAACGAGTATCCACCGCGTCCGCTCGAAGAGACGTTTCCGAATGGAAACAGAGGCACCGGTGCATCGATGGTGGCCGACGGCGCACTCGGCGTTCTACGTACCGTTTCTTTGCATTTGCATTCGTTTGGCAATTGGTGGTAAACTGACACAAAGTTTGGCACGGTAACAGTACTTAAAATGTAAAACACGATTAAGATATGTGTACAGGTGGCTGTTGCGTCGGCGCGGAAAAGCATAACAAGGACGTCTTACTTTCTGCGGTGCGCGTCTTCAGCGGTGACCGTTGCCAACGGCGGAGGCGAGGCATTCTCCGGCGTTACGCCCGTCACGGAATCCAGCGAATCGGGCGTGGCGCTACGTGATCTCGTTCCAGTGCTGGATGCCTGAACAATCAGACGTGTGTCGGTCGGACAGTTCTCTATTTATATGTGCAACAAGCGTTTCTATACCTCCACATCTTTGAAGACGTCTCTGATGTCTGGTTTGCGAACGCGTTGTCGTTGGTTGAAACGCTGCTTCACCGTGTGATTGAGCGACTTGACGCGACGTTTCACCGCTTCGGCCTGTGCTCGCGACAAGGGGCGCAATGCTATGCCCAATTCGTCTGGCTGTACCTCTCTTCCGGCCTTCCATGCCTCCGTCAGCTGTCCCAACCCTGCTGTACGTAACCATTCGGCCTCCTCCTCGCCATCTTTCCAAGCCAATGTCAATTATTTCTCGTGGTAATTGGTAATTGGTTGTTGTCACTTTGTCGTGACAAATTGCAAATCTAATAACGAGGGGGGTGATAAAAAAACAGACATACCGTCGTAGTTGCGTGGACATTCCTCTTCCAGGTAATCATCCAACAACTTGGTCTCTTCCATCATTTTTTGATACTCCTCCCAATAGTCCAAAAGGTGATTGTCACCCTCTATGTACGTGGTTGTCTGCGCTCTCTCCATTGTTTCCAAACTCGTGTTACGCGTACGCTTTAGAAAGAACACTTGTACTTCAACAGCCTGTCATTCGAAAGCTTTTCCCTCGGATATCTGAAAAGAAAAAAGAGAGGAGAAATGGCGAAAAAACGTTCAAACTTTAGGATAATAATTGTGAAATAATTTGCAGAGAATAATTTCTCCGATCATGGTGGTCTTAATTCTATAAAAAAAAAATCTTTTCGAGACGACGTACGTGAGTTTGTCTGAATTTAAGTACACCTTCTTTTCAAGAAGTTTGTAAATCCGCTTTCCGAAGTGGGGCACAAATCGAATTAACATAAACGAGGAAGTGTCGCCGACACGTTCGAGCGGCCAGTGTTGAAGGCAAATGGCACGAGACGCGAGTAAGTAAACAAGAATACACGAATACAAGCACACGTACGCACGCAGCGAATGATGCATATGTACGCGTGTGTTTGTTCGTCGAAATCGCGCGAACGCAACGCGCACGCCCCACGGAGAATGAAATCGCGGACGTCGAACGTGAACGCAACTGCCTCTTAACCTTCGTCACACGCCTGGTGAGAAACTTACGAACGAAATACGTACGTACGTTCGTTCGTTCGCCAGTTCGGACTCGATCCGTGAGTATCCTCCATTTCGTTTGCCATTTCGTTCTCCAATGTACGATTCCGAACTGACAGCGGCCGACGAAGAATCCCCGCGTACGAACGAGGACGTAAGAATTTTTACTCTGAGAACTCGAGTTATTATTCTATCGTGAGGTGGCGAGCGAGTTTTACGCGCGTGAGTGGACAACACGTTCGGAATCGTCTGCCACTTTTAAGAACCAACGACGTTCGACGCGAGCTTCTGCATCGCGCCCATCTCGCGGAGAGAATCGTGTGCGACTCGTCGCTCCGAGCACCACATAACTCCTCCTGAGCACCTCCGTTCCCAAACTTTAACCGCACAACAAACAAAAGTCCGCGTCTCTCCGTCTCCCTAATCAACTTCCCGCTTCACGCCGATTTAACTTACGTTGTAAAATTGGAAACGCGAGAACGTGCTCCAGCAACTTGACAACCTGTTGCTGACGCATACCGTTCCCACGCACGTACCAACACACACCTTCGCGTTACGATATCACCGTTTTTCTAGCCGACACCCGCGCCAACGATGTGAGTGTGCACTCGATAGCTCACGCCATCTGCTTGGGTTGTTATGCTTTCAACCATTGACTAATCGCACGATAGACGTCGCATTTTGTGGCCGTATGTACGTATGCAGGGTGTCTCGATGCGGGTGGGAGTATAATTGAGTATAGAGGTGATTCTACGTCAAAGAAGGAGTAAAATTTAATTCGTTTCTCTTGACAGGTGAAAATTTGCTTAAGCTTGTTTTTCTTTTCTTGTTTATTTAGTTTCTAGTCCAAACCGATCGTAAAATAGAGTTGTCTCTCACCAAGGAAATGTATTTTTATACTATCGCTTCGATTTCATATATAATCGATTGACTAATTAATTATTTGCGATTGGTGAAAACTGTTAAGGACATGCTGATGCCATCTATCGACAATCATCGGTACTAACGAAAAATTAATTAAACAATAAATAAAAGGTTTGTTCGGTCAATTTACTGTCTAATCAAAGTCAAGGGTCCAATTTTGAAGAAATGATCGTAACAGTTTGTAGATTAAACCCTTTAATCAGTTTCTTTTGCAAATTCTCGATTGCGAATGAGCATAGTGCTGTCATCTATCGGGATTGTTCAGAACTATCTCGCGAGATAAAATATGTGCTGCCATCTATGAAATTTTTCCGTTTCAACGTTTTAATTTTAGCCACAGTCAGGAGTGTCTTAGATGGCAGCACCATCCTTAGACATGTAGCGACCTCTACTTCGAAGAATTTAGATCAACGACATCTATGTTCCGTCGAGATGTATATTTAATATAAACAATAGAGTATTTAAAAATAGCTATTAATTTTATTATCACCATGGAAATGTTTACTGCCACTTATATATATTGTAGCCATANCTAAACAGTTTTACGTTCACTAAGAAAAAAAAAAAAAAAAAAAAGAATTGATAAAACACTTTAAACGAATAAATCCCGTAATGGATCTCCAATAAGGCTGAATTACGAAAGCACTTAGCTCGCGTAAAAATGCGTGAATGGATTAACAGCATTTCGAAAAACAATTACCAGAGAGAAGCTATTAACCAGACAATGCATCAATGACTAACGACAACTACCAGGAGAATGATCGTCCAACAACACGAACTATGTTTCACAATGCTACGTCCCAGACGATATAAATATACAGGAGAGGATCGCTATTATTGGTGCTAACGAGACGTTCAACAGGATTTCAGAGAAACAACGTCACATTCCGCAACCGACGTTACGTTCGTATTAACAATTGATTAACCACGGACGGATAGTGGTCTTTCATAACATCGCAGACAATGACATCACTTATCGATCTCTGCCGACGGATGTTCCAATAAATTCCAGTCGTTCCTTCGTTGTACAGGACGAGTCACAAACGTTGGTCGAAAGTTTCCAAGAAGGTTACGTATCTTGTTAAAAAAAACATAAACCAGTTTCGATCGAAAAAGGGTCGTTGGAACGAAAAACGAGATATACCGGACGAATTTCGCAATTAGCTTCACTTTTCGCGAACATTAAAGAAATAGCCGAGTAATCTCGCCTGGAAAGGGGCGGCATTTTCTTTCTTAAAAAAAAAAAAAAAAAGAAAGAAAAGGAATCACCGATCGCCCTTTGCCTTCTGTTTCACAGCTCGTTACAACGTGGCATTTATTTAATCGTCGCGTCGCTCCGAGATTTTCGGCTTTCTTATGGTCCGCTGAACTTTGCACAATTACCAGGATGCATTCTCTTCGCCGCTCCTTTCCTTTTCCATCGTTGCTCGGGATTGCTGCCCAGCGTTCTTTGCCCGAGACAAAATCTCGCGAGATTAGCGTCTCGAAGCAGATTCTTAAGATTCCCGAAACGATACTGTGTTCGATAGTTAACGCGTTTAGCAGAGAAATTGCGCAGTGTTTGACGTAGAAAGTATCTTCTCCATATCCGCGCGTAATTGCCACTTTTAACATTTGAATCCCCAATTTGACATACAAGCAAAGAGAATATATATATATATTAGGGGTACCTATGAGTGATCAATTATTTTGCATTGTTGGAGCATCAACCTTGGCTTTTTCTGCCTGATAAATCTATTAAAATTAATTTCAGTTTAATATGTATATTTTTTATTTAAATTTATTTATATTTAATTATATTAATAATAAAATATATTAAAAATAATAATATAATATAATAATATATAATAATAAAATATATTTAAGGTAAATAAAATTATCATTAAAATTAATAGATTGCTCCTTTTTCTAACAATTTGGAATACAGTCGTTACTAACGCGACAAGTGAACTTTGTAACAAAAATTGATCACCTACGGCTGCACCTAATATAACAGACATCGAGAGTGTCAAAGTTGGTCCTGAGAACCAAATCCTCTTATTCCTCGTGACACGTTTCACGTTCGACGTCGCGGAAAATGGGGATCGAATCGCGATCCATGAAAATTGTTTAAATAAATGATGGCGACCGGTCATCGGGAACACGGCGGATGCGATATCGGATTCACCGCGGGGCGTCGATACGCCAGCACCATGAAAATATCGAAAGTATCGAGAGGAGAGGCGAGAGATACCGCGGTGGATGTCAACGAGCAAAGTAAAGGAAGTCAGGCGTCATCTTCCAAGATTTATGACGCGCGCGGGTCCTTGTACACATTGGGATAGATGGTTTTACCTCCGCCAACTTTACAACTAAGTAGTAGAGCCTCTTAAATCACTGTCATAATTGAGAACGCTGCAAGAACAATAGAAGACAGATGGCTGAGAATAAGCGTTCATTTAGGAAACAAAAGGCTGCGAGGCTGCAGCTACGCGGCGATACGAAGAAAGACGTACAGAATCAGATATCAGGAATGCCAAGTTCAGATTTTAATTCAGATTTTTTTTTTTGCTTTGCTCCTCTGACTCGAGTGAGAATACTCCTCCAACTCTGATGGTATTATATGTTTGGTTGATGAAAGAACCAAATGTAAAAGATGTTACTTAATTTTATCGACAGAGCGAACTTTCGCGCGATAAAACCTGATATCTAAGGTCGTAAAATTATGATTCATCGGTCTGCCCTTGGAGATGAAGTAATTAATACGTTGGAATAATTAATTCCAATCAGCGGAGATGAACGATACCCTTGTGACTCGAAGAGAGAAAGAATTCATGGACGATCCAGATAATTTGATCGATCGTTGGACAGCAATCGGACTGATTGATTGCTCTCTTTCTCTCATTATGGAAGAAAGGCAAGCGTCTCCTAGGAGGTAGAGTAAATCGATTGCTTGTGATTTTTATTCGTTTGAGAGACGAATGAATTGAGTACGAGGGCGGAAGATTGATGACGCTTACCTTCATCGACGTTCGAGTTATGGCGTATAAAGGTGCCATTCCTTTACGCTGTCGCGAAAGTGCCCCGTTCCACGTTCGTTCGTAAAACGAGTTGAAAATGGCGTATGTGTTTTAAAAAAGAAACAGAAAGAAAAAAAAAAAAGAGCATCTCGCAGTTTCCGCGTACGGCGAACAGAGAGTTCCTTTCAGCGTGACACGTAAAACGCCATTATCAAGCGTCGAAATGACATTCCCACGAAATGAGAATCATCTTCTAAAATTGAATTTCCATTTTCAGCGAACTGGAAAAAGAAACACGCGTGTACGATCAAAAAAAAAAAAAAAAAAAAAGAAAAGAAAAAATCGAGAACTACGTATGTAAGTAGTACAACATAGACACACGTCGCGCTTTTCTCTTTGGACTTTGCGTGAAAAATGCAACGTTAATGCATTTTTCTTACCGATATTGCATTTTTCACAAAACATCACCTACCTGTGAAACAAGTTTATAAAATTTTACAAAAGTGTATGTAAAAATTCTAAAAATGTCGCCAGGTACTAAAGTTTCGATAACCAAAGCGCGACTTGATAAACGTTCCCTTAAAATTCCGCGTTTACGGCGAGAGAGCAAATAGCGAAGGCCATCGATGTAAAATTTGTTAAACACGTTCGACGAGAAGACGAGAAGAATCCACGTTGTTCGGCGATTGAAAGAAGAAATTGCGACGCTGTTGGTACATGTCTCGCGACAAGTGAAACGATCGTGGTCATTTATTCGCATCAGTCGGTAGCGACGAGTAAATTTGCCAGAACGGGATGGAACGGGACATCCGGATTTCATTTTTCTTCGTCCCTCCTTCGCTCAGAAGTTCCTTCGTCTGGCGCTGTCCTGGAGGCAGCGATCGAACGAGCCCTGGCTCTTACATCTCTCACCTTTATGCCCGTCATATTTCATGCCGGCCAAACGTTCCGACGAATGATGCATTATTTAGGATGCAATTCGGGGAGAGCCAGGCCGGGACCTCGTGGAACAAATGCGCGCGAAATGGGCCAAGAGCATCCGGCAGAATGTCGTTCCTCTTCCGGACGATCGATCGACCTACAAACTTAATTTCGCTAGGAATCCCTCCTCATACCCGGCTGGAAAACGTGTCACGCTTCAAAACTCCACGACATGGATTTTTTTTCAAATGCCTTTGCGCTTCTCCGCAATGACGCGAGAGATCAATTTGTAATGAATTTGTAAATTACGTGCAAAGATTCTTTTTTTGTAGTCCTTCTACCGGTGTAAATTATCTTGAAATTCG